AACTCTGGCCTTGCCTTTTTCTTTCCTAAGGGGACAAAAAATAAGAAAATAAGAAAAATAAGAACTTCTAAACTTGAAATAGAAACCTGTCTATGTCTTCAGGTCTCTGTGTTAGTTTTGTAGGTTAATAAGGTCCTTGCCCAGTTGAATTTTGGATTCTATTGTATTAACAGCAAACACTGTTTCAAAAAAGAGAAGGTTGTTGTCTGTCCACCTCTCCTGTGAGCCAGTCTGTCTTGTGAGCTATTAAAAAGCCAAACTAGGTTTGTTATCTGCACTACTACCTGGACTACATGCTGTCACCATTAAACAGATGAATCATCCTTGATAAAGAGTGATTTTAAGGATTTTTTTGAGTTGCTTGTTTTGCTAGCCTGGCAAATTTTATGAATATTTCTTATAAGACTAGGTCAGCATACTCATGTTCATCCTATTTGCACATCTATACATGGTAACACTGACATGTTCCTTTTACCATTTTCATAAAATGTTTAAAGACCACCATAGCCCTTTGTGGGAACAGTGTTACATTGCAGTCTCACAGTTATTTCATGATCAATTTATATGCTATGATCTTTAAATCTACTTCTATAGTAGATGTTCTTAATGCGGATGCTAGAAACTAATCTACAAAGGAGAGTGCATATAGTCACAGCACTGAGGTAGCCTCTACGAACCGCTGGTGGAGGGTGATTTATTCTGTAGGGTTAATAGTCACATCACTAGACATCATGTCGAGTTCACGTTGTCCTCCTCTGGAACTGCACCTCAGAGAGGGCTGGCGTAAGAAGTATTTTCACTATACAGTTGCCACCATGAAGTAATGCTCTTGGGTTATTTTGTCTGTTGATTTCTATTATCTGCCCTGAAACCTCTGTGGGAGCTCAGTGGGGCTGTTTGTTAGGGGCCGTTTGTAGTTTTGGTATGAGAAGGACTGAAATATATGCTGAAAATATGAAAAAATATAGTTTTCTATTTTCTGGAGGGAGAAAAAAAAAAAGGCACATACATTTGAAACTCAGCTCATTACTGAGGAAAATAAATTCCTGTCTCTCAAGCAAATAGCCTTTAGAACTTGTTAGACTTCCACATCAATTATTTTTGAAAAAAAGAGAAAAAACCCACCTGTGTACATTAATTATCTTTTTAATGGAAGGCAGCATTCAGATATGGGGTGAAATTTGTCCCTTGCATTAACTGTACGACTAAAATTCCATTGTCAGAGGAATAACTCCAAATTTACACTGGTAGGTTGTTAAAAAGAATTAGGTGGATAGTGCCTTGCAGCACACAACAGGAACAGCATCATAATAGGAGACGGCTTTAAGTTTTAAGTATATATTTCACAGGCTATTACATGATTAATATCCCTTTAAATACTGTTTGACTTAAATTGTGTACAGTTTTGCCTCTTGTCTTTGCCTTGTGTTTGTTGACTTTTTATTCTCCTTACTACTGTCAAAAACATTTTGATGCTATAAATAAGAGTATGGATTAAGTACATTCTTTGTGACAAGCAATGTGCAGTGTATTCATTTCTTTCCTTCTGAGAAGATGCATTATCCTTTCCATTATTTTGAATCTGCACTCTTCCATTATTCTGAAGATCAGTAGAAGTAAATCTGAGACCCAGTATGTGAAAAAGATGATATGTGCCTGTGCATCTACATATATTTTTGTATGTGTACACATACATATATAAATTCTTTCTCCTTGTGACAGATATGTTCCTGCACTTAAAAATATCTGCAGTTGCACCAAGTACAATCCCAAGCTTTTGGATATGACTTCAGTGAAGCTATGCCTGCTTGAGTTATACATCTTGGTGAAATTTTGTTTTATTCTACCTATTGCACAGGGATATCAAGACTTTTTGAAATTCTGACCTTTTCATTGTACATTGGGTGCACAGAGCAGTAAGGTTTTAAATAAAATCCAGATGAAGAGAAGGAAACAGCAAGGACAGTTAGATGTACATTTTAGTTGCAATAACAGATACAGGCAGGTCTTTAGTATAAGGAATATGTCGGACCTAGTAGGAACTTGGAAATCTTTACCAGATACCGTGCTAGGACACTGATTTGCAGGCATAAAGATGAGAGAGGAAGACTCCTAAGCTTCCTATAGCCCAATGTCTATGATGTCTAGCCTCATTACAGGCAATTTTATTTTGCTTCATTACTGAGCACTCTATGCCTGTTCCCTGCAGGCTCATCCCCCCATTTCATGTATCAGGAAGCTGGACAAAGTGCTGTTGAACTGGTAGCAGCGTTTAGACTTTTATGAAGTCAGATAGAAATCATCTTACCCAGTAATCTGGAAAGAGAATGAGAACTTGTGGTTTTGACAAAAGGATCGTGTGTAGTTACCGGGCCTTTTTTATCTTTTACATTTCCCTGCCATTTAGCATGTAGTTGTGAGCTAGTGTGCAGGTATGAGCATGGGTGTCAAACTCCCCTCTAGTGGCTGCTCCACACGGAAGTTAAATATTAATACACCTCAATGTAAAGTTTTTTGCTCTAGACTGAAAAAGACAATTAGTGTGAGATTGTGATGCTTGCACATGGGGATTTATTTTGTTTTTTTGTTGTTTTTTTTGCTTTCCTCCTTGTTTTAACGATAGCATTAACTTCACATGTCGAAACGCTGCAATTAAAACAGGGCTCGCTGTGGAAGCAACACAAACAAACAAGCAAGCAGTCGGGTTTTGGCACCGTGCTCCTCAAATGCAAACGTGCCACCTATTGGCAGCGGCGCCGCGCTCTCGGGGCGCGCGCGGGTGCCCGCGCGGGGCCGGAGCGCAAAACTGAGCAGCAAGCGCGAAACGAGGAGCAGCGCGCTAAAAATGTGCAAAGAATGGGCTGATTCATTAGGTGTCATTAAGATTAAAGAGCTGCGTTTCTTGCTAACACAGTGCTCGGCAGCAGATTGTGAGACCAGAAATACTCTGCAAGGCAGAAGTTTTTTTTCCTTTTTTTTGCGACGTGTGATATGAGGGATATGGTGAACTTGTGTGTTTCCCAGCCATCTGAGCTGCAAATTTGCACCTCTCCCATCCTCTCGGAGAATCTGTTAATAACTTTTTAGAAGCTCTTCTGCCAGAATTTTGCAAGGTAGCAAGGGGTCCGGAATCCAAGCTGTATCAGGAGAAAGCCTAGGGACATCTGACTTTGCAAACTCTTTTGTGAAGGTTTTGTTTCCCAGCCCTCAAAAGGACCCTTTACCCAGACTTCATGCATATGCAGGACTATTTCTCCGGGTTATGTTTTACGGAGGTACCTCTCATTTTCTCTGTGTACTGATAACTACATTTATAATGAACATTTGGAAGCTTTTTCTTAAAAATGTATTTCTAACGCAGTTTTGTCACTGTTGCCAATGTGGTCTGTTCACCACAATACCACTTTTCGTGGTACAATATCACCTCACTTTCCTTTTATATTTAGCAGTTCTAATGATAATACCATTTAATTTCCTAGCATGATAAGGAGAAAGCTTTGCCTCTAACAATATTTGAAACATGTTTTCACTCATAATCCTGCTGCTTCCTCACAATTTAGAGCAAAAGCCTTGGAGGTTGGTGGGGTTTTTTCTCTTTTTTTTTTTTTTGTATGGTTTAGCTTAGTGAAAGGATAGAATGATCTCCGACTGGCTGCAATAAGCTAAGCACTGGTGTGTGACATTAAATGTACACACCAGAATGTAAGATGTCAATGAAAACAAAACCAGCAGCTCTGGAGAGATAAGGTCATAATGATAGCTAGCGTGCAGCAAGATGGGCTGAAATGTACTGTGGTATAATATTTGACTACTTTTCTAAAATACCATTTTTTTCTTAAACTTGAGTTTTGTCAGAAGAGCAGAACACCTCTGCTTTACTTAAGTAAAACACGCAATGAGGAGCCAAAAAAAAAAAAAAAAAGCACATTTCAAAGGTTGGGGCGGTTGTTATACCCATAAAGATTGTAAGGCAATAGCTGTGTCAGGTCTTTGTAGAAATAATGTGCTTTCATCTCATGTCTTAATGCAAGAGCATCTTTTGCAGCAGCTGCTCTGGGAGTACCACAGTGCTCAACGAGAGCCTTACCTTGCACCAGCGACAAGTGCAAAGAGACACGGTGGGAGAGAACAGGCTTCTAATCTGCATCCCAGAGATGTGGTGCAAAGGGCTCAAAAATAAACCATGCAAGGGAGAAGGGGAAAATCAGGCATGTTAATAAAATCTATATAAGTAGCAACGGTGAAGTCATGTAGTGATCTTTAGCAAAAGGAGCCCCACTAAAGCAGGCCACGAGCAGTGAGAGCCTGCTATTTCTTATGGGATGCAGTGATAAAGAAATTACATACTTATTTGAGAGGAACATAAATAAAGATTAATAGGTTAATGAGTTATTTTCCTTTCATTACTATACTATTGTACTTTATTATAATTGCTTTGCACTCATTTAATTAAATTTGAACTAGGGCCAACACAAGATAATTTGTTTTCCCTGTACTAAACAATGAGTATGCAGATTGGAAGTACTGAAGCAGTAATCAGCCCTCTGTTTGCAACACTTTTCTACTCTGAGCAGACATTATAATTGATAATTTGATTGTTGCAGTACTCTGTGCAATATATTTTAAAGCAACATTAACATAATGGAAATTATGTTGTGTGCCTAATCTGGGCTTTTCACTGTGTAAGTATATGAATCCCATTCTGTAATGAATTAGGGCACTATCCACTAAACATTTGTACAACCTTTGCATGCCTCATTTTGGAACAGAGCTATCAAGTCTCCCTTCAGTGTCTTCCCCTGAAGTTATATTGCTTGAATTGTCCAAGTCCCAAGCTCAGACAGTGAGGCATTTCAGTGAGATCTGATTTATTCTGACACATAACTTGGATTAAAATTAAATACAGATTTTGTAGAGCTGCTGCGTAATTCTTGCCTTGTTTTAAAGGAAGGTGTGTTTTTGGTCCATTAGAATTGATCTTTTCATTATCTCTTCCACAGTATTTGAGAAACCTGATAGCAATTGATCTATCAAATGAAAAAATAATGACTTCGGATATGAAGGTAGGACTTTTTGATGGCTGAAATGCAACCAAAGATACTTCAGTCTCCCTTTTCCATGTGGGGCTGCTTGATAAAACAGGAATATCACCAGTGTGTGTTCTTCTGATGTGAATGGAAAGAAAGGTCAGGTTTTGGGTTGATCTTCTCTGCATGCCGAGCTGATGCCCCACACACCAACGTGGTCCCAGCAGTCCATTGCATGTCCCCACCATGGGACATCCCGAAGAACCGTCTGGAAAGGCCGTGTTTGGCTGGAGCAGCCACCAAGGTGACCTCCCCTTTCCAGTTTAGGCCCTGAAAAAGAAGTGGAAAAACAAAGTGAAGCATGATGGCTTAGAAAGCTCTGCCAGCATGGAACTTTGTTTTCTGACAAAATAAGGTTGGCTTTGTCTGCATAAACATTTGAGTCACCTCACTTAATATTTGTCTATTTACTTTTTTTGCTTGAACTGTCTCTATACTAAAAAGGTGGACTGTGGGTTGCAAAATGTGTTCGAGTTGTTTGAGAAAAGCTTTGTAGAGGTGAGTACTGTACTTGTTTTTCTGGACTGGTCCCACAGACGTTCCTGGGATCTTGGGGCCTGGAGCCCCAATGGAGATGGTGGCCAGACTGGTGCAGAGGAGAAGGCCTCTCTGCTGTGGTGGCGTCTGTGGCACCTGGGGCAGGGAAGTTGGTTGTTTGTCCTTGACCTTGGTGACGGGCAGTTTGGCAAGTGCTGGAGCATCCCAGTGGCATTTGGGTTTCATACCAGTCCCCTTTGTGTGGTGAGGAGTTGGGGTCCATGAGGACAAGGTGCCATTCCCATTCCATACCTGTGAGTGATGGGATTTCCCCACCACCTTAAGTTTTGCTGTTGTAGGTTACAGCTTTAGAAAACCTAATTTCTCTGTCCTGAGGAGCAAGCGGATCATAACTGTTCTCTCTTGTTACACAAAGCCAGTGCTCTCAGCCCGCCAGGCAAACCCAGGGAGGTTTCTGTTTTCCATTTATCGTAGTTTCAATTGATTGGTCAGTGGTGTGTATCCTTTCTCAGGTTCCTTTATTCCTTTTCTTTCAGACTTGGAATATCATTGTCTGAAATCCTGAGGGTAGTTTTATAGATTTCTTTTTCTTTCACACAGAGACCTTTAAGCACACGATGTACCTGAGCTGCCACTCCATCTAGCTTTAATTCAGTCTGGGAGCGTAGCCTAAATCACACATCAAATGCTGTAATATCTCTTCTTTACGTAATTTAAAAGGATGGGCCAAAAAGGGAGTAATCCTTGTCTTGGATCTGCATACCAGGTATAGCAGAATATCTGAATATGAGGTGCTACCACCAGTGTAGGTTGATAATTAAATCAAAAAACGATTGAAGAAAGAAAAGCCTTAAAAAGAGAGCATCATGGAATGATATGGATGAAGAATGAAACTGGAGGGAGTGTAAAGGTAAAGTTTTGTGGGTGATTATGTCTAACTTTGTGTAGTGTGTATTTGGGATGAGAGTAGTGGAGACTGTAGAAGTGCATATATCAAACATCTGTAAGATAAAGCTGATGAGCAGGGTTGAAAGATTACATGAAAAAGTGAAGAGTGTAAGGAGAAGCACAAAATAAAAGGTTTTGTGCAAAGGGCTAAGATAAGAGATTTTCTGAATATGGAAGCAGCACGAGGTCACTAGGGAAAACAGTAGCTTCATACAGCAAAGGTAACCTACTGACAGGCAAGAAATGCTTTTTTCAAATGTTAAACATTTTGACTCAGTTTTCTGAGGTCAGGTAGGGACAAGTAAAAGACATAGGGGAACACAGCAAAAGAATAAGGAGTTAATACTGCGTCTGAATACTGATCAAGTCTAGGGCTTCATAAAATCATCCCAGATTGCTAGGAGGAGATAAAACAGGTAGGAGGATGTTGAGCACGTCATGCAACGAGACAGGACACAGCTGAGGTGTTGGATGGTATAGGACATGTCCTCCTTCCATGTGAGCAACTACAACTAGAGCAGTCCAAGAAGACAAAGACTCTGCTGAGTAAGTCTTCCCAGTGCTTGTGCCCTTCACACAGCCCCACAGTCTAGTTCAAAGTCTTCCGTTATAAAAACAGAAGAATTAGACAAGTTGACGTTCTTTATGGGCACCATAGTTTGGAGTTGTATATTCTGTCTGAGGTTATATGTATCCTATTCATCACCAACCTGTGTAACTATATAAATATATGTAAATATATGTCTGGGAAAAATATTTAGTTGGAGCTTCTTATAGAAATTGGAAGAAATTGTGTATATAGAATAGTGCACTAACAGTATCAAGAGGAGAAAATACTTTAAATTTCTAAGTATCATTTCAATTATTTGCAGCGTAAAAGAATCCTGACAATTAACGTTTGCTTTTGCAGTGAGCTGTTATCTTTACAAATAATTATGCATCTGTTTTAAAAGCAAATAAAGAAGGGAGGAAAAAAATGTAAGAGAAATTTTAACTCAGAGGTGGGTGCAGCTCTGAGTAGTAGATGTTTTCTTAAAGGGATCCCCTAGCAGCACTGATGCATGTTGTGTACAAAGGGAGTAAAAATGACTCGCTTGAGTATATTTGTGTGTCTACCACCTTGTCCTGATGGAAGCTGTGGATGGTGGAAGGCATCGTGCAATTAGATGATTTGTTTTGTTTTGTTTTTGAAGTTAAGCACCTCTGTAGGCTGCGTGGTTGTCCATATGTTGCATTTGGTGCTGTACCTGGGAGACCTTCAGAGCTCAAAGGAGGTTCTCACATCCTATCTGTGGGTGGGAGCCTGGGCTTGTGGTGCAAACTCAGATTTACACCTTGACGGTGAACATGAAGCTTGGATCTCATGCAAGACCATTTCTGTTCCCCACAGATGACTGTCTGCAGAGAAGCTGTCAGCAGAGGTCCCTATGGTCTGCCAAAACCTGGAGCTTCTGCTTTGCTCATCTCTGATAACACCAAGATAGGCAGAAATGTAAGTAAATGGCAAATGATGGTGCAAATTGAAGCTGCAGAGAGGAGTGACGTGTGATTGTGCAGTTGGTGGCATGTGGCACTGCTGTACAGGGAGGAGCTCAGAGCATTGCTTGCTGTGGCTTCAAAACAGTACAGGGGGCATCGAGTCCCCAGATGTGTGCATGTGGCTGAAACTGAGGCAGATGTACATAATGCTAAAAATCCCAGGCCTCCAAACAGTTTCTGAAACATGTCCCAACTGTGTTTGCTTCAGGAAGCTCAGAGAAAATACTGAGTTCTTCCTCCTCTTCCTCCCTCTGAGGCCAAGTGAGTTGCTGTTGGGTGCAGACTCTGGGAAGGAGCCTGAGGAGCCGTTCCTGCAACAGACACAATGCCATCCAGACCCGACCCTGGGGGTTCAGCTCTTACAGGGGCATCCAAAATGGCTTGAAATTAGGCTGCTCGGCTAGCCGTGTAGCCACAGTGGTGCGGGGAAGCTGTTTACCCAGATTTTCGGCCACAGAAAACAAGGACAGCAGTGAATGCTGCAAGGACATACCCAGAATAGGAGTGTGATGTATTCTTTCAATACGAGCAGCAGCTACAGGCTTGATAAAAGCTTTCTTTAAACTACTGGCCAAAGCAGGCCCCTATCTAGTCCCTTTATAGAGGGAGAAGAAAGGCTGGTTTGTCGAGGCCCAAGTGTGGCCAAAGGACCATGTGCTCAGGGGGTGCCATCCTGGGCAAATTTTCCACTCCTCTTATTGCCGAGGATGTTTCTGCAGCTTCACCATGCACAGCACAACGGGCCTATTTATTAGAGCAATAGCTGATATAGCAAATAATTCAGAGTCGTGTCAGTTTTGGAGAAGAACAGATGACTGTTACAGGGCAGTTGAATATATATGAGATATTCTTTAGTGATGGAATGTGCTAAAATGCAATTTTATACAGAACTCATTCTCCAGGAACAGCAAAGCATTTTATGGAGGAATGAGTACAAGTTATAGTTGTTCGGTCCAGGGCACAGTGAGCTTAATATTTCCATGATAAATCACTACAGGCTCTGCAAGAGCTCCCAGAACCTTGGGCAGCAAGGGCTAGCTCACAGAGACAGGGACACTGTCCCAGACACCAACTTCATCCTCTCAAATTGTCTCCAGCATTCCTCACCCTATCCTTGGAACGCAGCTCCAGTGGGAAACCTTTGCTGGTGAATAAGAAGAACTGGAAATCTGTCCAGTCCAATATCTACAATATTTCTACAATACTTCTATTTACAGTTCAGGCAGCTCTCATTTATCTGTGCACTTTGTCCTGAGTAAAGACTTATCAACATAAGACTTGCAATATTTTTTTCCCATTTAAGAGATCTTATATTGAGGTTAGAATATAGTGTATAGGATTTTCCTGAAGAGTCCTGAATTGCAGTGCCTGGAATGGCACACTGCTTCAGCTGAATTTCTACAAGTACTTTGGTGGCTGAGATTCAGGACAAACAACAGACATGTGAATTTTAAGTAACTCTGCTGGAGAATATTCACCCAGAATTTATTCTGAAGGGATCAACATGGGAGTTTACGAAAGGAAGTTGATTATTTCCCCTTATTCTTCACAAGGAGAGAGGAACTTTATCAGTAGATGGATGAAGCCACTAAAACCCAACTAAAGACAGGCGCATGAAGCTGTCTGGGATAGAAAGAGAGAGTTCATGGGAGAATTTGCAGTTTATAGGCAGGACAGATCTAGTCTAAACATGGGACACATGGAGGGGTCCTCAGCTCCACACTTGCTATCCCGTCAAAAATCAGATCATCAGAGCACAAACAACGGACACAAGGAGAGCTTTAGGTCATTTAGAACCTTTTTCTTGACCACTTCGGTGAACACTGCAAGAGACATCCCATGTCTTGGTAGTGCCTGTTTGCAGTGCCAGTTTGCTTTATTTTTTCAGTGGAAAAACCATAATACAACAGATGATTGCACACTCTGTTCACCTGTGCTCTTTAAATGACCATCTCTAGTGCTACTCTCTTGTCTCAGCTTCCACCTGCTTTTAATGCAAATTCCCTGCTCTAACTTGTAAAACATTGAGT